CCTCCCAAATTCGCCTTAAAAGCCCCCAGTTTTCAAAAAAAGACACCTTGATTCGCTGATTGAGCTTCTTGTACGCCTCTTCGCGCCTTTCCATTTTGTTCAACCAGGATTCAAAATAGCGCAGTACGAAGCCAGCCAAAGTTGATGTTTTGTGAGTACCATAATCTGGAGATATCTGAAACAGGAAAAAATAGAGCGAAAGATAAGGGATCAGTTTAAGTATCATGTGCAAGAACGCATTTTAGGATGCAGTCTGTGTGTTTCATCCCTTAGCTGTAAACACAGGTGGAATGTAGTAGCATGCGAGTAAAAGTGGGAACCATCAGCACAATCTCCACCATCCACCATGTGTATAATGAGCATGCATAAAAAAGATTATAAAAATAGAGTAACGAAAAGCCAGCGGAAAAGAAGAGAAACTGATATGAAGAGAGACGAGAGGTGGGGGTAGGATCCTTATTTTTAAGCAATTGGCGATGTCACTAAGTTTCTTTTTTTTTTGCCATCATCAAAAATGTATTTACTAAGAATGGCCTTCTTCCTACAGCAGAATTTGAACTCTGATGTTGTTGAACCCTTTTTGTCTATATATGCCTATTAAACTTTTTTGAGGATTATGAATCTCCCAGTGCACATTAATTAAAAAAATATCTGCACTCCCTGAAATACTAATGTCTTCAACTTCCTGCAAATGATGATTCTCAACACAAATCAGAGAAATCTGGAATGTATAAAGCCTTAACAAGTCACTAGCAGACGCTGGTAATCCTAGGTCAATGACAATCCTTTCAAGAGACAAAACACATCAAAGTCACCGGCAGGTCGACAATAAAGCAATACAGGATTAGTCAAAGAAACTCAAAAAGCTGCCAGCTGCACAGTTAGAAATCAGTTTGCAACGCACTAGGTTTACTGATGCGATCATTCGTTTTTGCGCTAAGCTTGCAGACTGCTAACAACAGGAATGATCCTTACGCTGTACTTTAACACTCAGAGTCATATTGACTGTGTTTTGGCCTCTTCGTGTACGCAGGAGGAAAAGGCGTCGGCTGGGATGAAGGTGTTGCATTATGGGGCCACATGGACTTGAGGCATGTATGATTACAGTTTTTTGCACAAAGCTCGGTTGTTTTTTCGGTGAATGCTTGTTCACTGGAAGAATGCAAATTTGAAGGAAGCCCGAAGGAAACTACGAAATCTGCAAAACGCACTCGCTTTTGAGTCTGCGATAAAAATAAGTGTTTGTTATGTCTGCATGCAGGGCATTTCACCTCCAAGCCGAATTAATATCATACTTGAATAAAAAATATCCTTGCAAAGTTCCAGCTTCGCAGCTTGCCTGGAAAGCGAAATAACTACTTCGCTACAAATATCTTTGAAGCATGCTAATTTGTGGCGCAAGTGCAAATCGAAACTCAGTTTAGGTTCACGATTTTACATATGAATAATAAATATTCTGACAAAACTTCAGCTACCGTTTTTCGGCTAGTTTTCGCGTTAGTACAGTGCTAATTACGAACTTTGAAGTGACCGTATGTGTGGTATAAGCGTGTGCAATAGCTCAATTTGAAATCTTTATTTTGCACATGCAAAAAGAATATTCCTGCAAAATATCAGCTTTTTATCTTTTCTGATTCGCGAAATCGTTTTCAGCTAAGGAAATTTGTATATTTTTTTCGGAGTCCGTATACAAGGTCTAGGCGCATGAGCGAAGATTTTTAAACAGGTGAGAAAATGACCTCAAAATTTCAACCTCTCAGCTTTCCTAGTTGCTGAGTTGAAAGTGGGTGACAAAGTTCATTCTCTTTTGAACACACAAACATGGACACCCTTTCGACAATATGCGTTTTTGCTCACTCTTGCAGCGCTATAGCGCTGTACAGCAAAAACACATAAATAAAAACCGACAGTGAATTATAGCTGATTGAAGTGAAAAAATAAAGTTCAAAACGTTAAAAATAGAATTCCGTCGAATTATATTACCTTGTGAAGAATCAGCACTGTCTCCAGAACGTTTTGGCTTTTCTCAAATATTTCGTCCAGTATCGACTGGCACAATTCATGCTGGAAATAGCTGCAGCATAACTTTTTCATGATTATATATACACACATATATATACATGATCATCAAAAATACTGCATATAAAATCATGAAAATTTTTCATTTTATGCATATTTTTTATGCCCACAAATATAAACTTGAAAATATATACAATAAAAAAATCAATCAAAAAAACACAGGGATGTTTCGGTCCACTAAGTCGTATACATTCCTATTCAGCACCGCAACTGGGCCAAGTCAGTTCGACAGTTTTGTTATCGATAAATTAAGAGTAGCAGTTAGTACATCAACGTGCATAAATTAAAGGTAGTAGTAAATAAATAGTGGCGCACACCAAGGTAGCTAGTGCGATCATGCGTATTATGCAACCCTGTTCAGCGAATTCTTGTGCAATTCTGTCCGACGGGCGCTTGTGCAAGCCTGTTCAGCTGACGCTTGTTCAACTCTGTCCAGGGAACCTTGTTGTTAAAAATGTCCATTAATATGTTTTTCGAATTATTAATTTTAGCGCTAAAACTTTCCCGTTCCTGTATGGTGCGGACGGAACTAATTTGTACTCTGGCAGAGAGCAATACTCTGAAATTTTAACTTTTTAGCCTTCCTTATTTCCGAGTTAATAATTTTCGCGCCAGAACTCTCACGCGATTACGTGAGAAACCGAGAAGCGCGTGAAGGCTGACATATACGCGCAGGGAATATTCTCCTAAAATTTCGACGCCCCAGCTTTTGCGGTTTTCAGTTTATTAATTTTGATACCAAAATTTTTATTTGTCCTTATATAAAATCTAGGCGTGTGCTAGGAATGAATTATACGCGGATAGAGAGAATTATCCTAGAACTTCAGCCTCCTAGCTTTTCTGGTCCCCATGTCTGAACGGGACCCTTTCTCGGAAATTGTCCTGGACCAAGAGGAAATTGAACCATTCCTCTTCACGTCTGGACGCAATGTGTTGCCAATACACCACTGGCCCTTGTGCTCCAGGTTCAGCCAGACAATATCTACTGTGCATCTGTCTTTCAAGGCGATATATTCTTCTGTTTTACTCACTTTTTTCTTTGAATCGGTTTATTAGCTGGCTTTTCGCGGGTTTTTCATAGTATCCCGAGACACTTTCGCGCCAAAATTTTTGCGTGCTCATATTTGACTTGGCATGCGCCGAGACTAAATTTATATGACGGTAAAAGCATCATTCTGAAACTTCAGCTTCCTAGCTTCCATGCTTCCCGAGTTATTAATTCTGGTGCCAAAAATTTCAAGTGCCCACACATGAGATCTAGGCGTGCGGGCGAAACAAAAGGCTAAATTTGAGTCTACGGGGTCATATGCGGGCAGGGGACATTCTAAAATTCCAGCTCCTTAGCTCTGCTGGTTCCCGTGCTAATAATTCTATCGCCAAAATTAGGCATACATGAAAGCTGAATTTAATTTTAGGGAGGTCAAACACGGACAAGGAACACTACCTTAAAATCTCTGCTTCCTATTTTCTGTGCTTCCCGAGTTAATTCAGGCGCCAAAACTTTCGCGTGACCAAACGTGAAATCTAAGCGCTGGTGGAGTATTGCCCCTTAAAATTTCAGCTTTCTAGCCTCTCCGGTTCCTGAGTTGAAACCCTCGCATAAAATGCACTTGAAACATACAAACACACACAAAAAAGGGTTTCGACAACATTCGTTTTGTGCAACTGTTGCAGAACAAAATGCATATGTAGTAGTCAGAGTATAAATATGCATAAAGGATTATGCGTTTGGTCAAAAATAGTACAGGGTTAATGCACTTATTTACTGTGGTTTTTTGACGGAACAGTTCTTTTATTGAATGGTTTGCTTTACTCATATTGGACAGAGAAGCAACCTTGAGGGCTTTTTCATCTTCACTAATCCAGACATCTTTGAGCACTTTCCTCCACGTGTACTGTGGCTCCCGAAGTGGTGGCGGTCGAAATTCCTCTTTTCGTTCCTCTTTTGTCTTCTTACGACTCGTGCTACTTTCTGAGCGATCATCTGTCGTTTCGGTGCTAATCTCGTTTGTTGTGCACGCTTCATTTTCCAGCGCTACAGACGCTGCCATCTCAATATTACGGGAAACTTGATCCTGAAATGACGGAGAGTTTCTTGCGATTTTGTTTTCATACGTTTCGGACCGATCGGTAAGTTCAGACATCGGCCACAGTGCAAAGACCGCTCGGACAGTCAATGTGGGTATTCCATGTTAGTGATGTTACTGAAATGCTAGGCTAGCCGCCAGATCCCAGGCTCCCGTCTAATCAGAAGGCCAAATTTTAGCATTTTTCATAGCCAGCCTGCCCATAGGCGGATTCATGACAAACTTTTGGGAGGACGACGGGGGGGGGGGGGGGGGGGGGGGGGG